TAGCCCTTTCAGGACTTCGTCCTTCAAATTGCTCCGTAAAAGCAATTTGTTGCAATTGTTTTCAATTACCTGAGGTACTAATTGAAGAGATGAGCATAAATCACCTATAAAAGCTAAGGCTTTACCAGCTGAAAGCAAGTCACCCACTTTTCAAGGAGCGTGTGTCTCACTGGTACCAAGCGCAGCGAATGCAGGCCCGATGGGGACATGGGCTGTATTACCTCTACCCCTGCGAGTGTCACCTCAGAACATGACACAGCCCAGCCCAGCCCGGGCACCCGGCCCAGACTCCCATCCTCACGCCCCAGCATCGCACCACCTGCAGAAATGGTCTTAAAAATAAAAGCACGAACACTGGGCTCATTCAGTGTCCTGGGAACTTACTCATACCTTTCTGACCTGGAACTGAATAATGTCAGTTTGGTTAACAAAAAAATACTTGGAAAACTTCAAAAAATGCCAAATCAAGTCTGAATGGACATGATTAAAGCAGATGTTACATTCTTGCAAGATCATGATTAGAGACTGAGCCTCCACAAAATACAGGGGGGGGAAAGCTAACCGCTCTCCTGAAATTCACCACCAGATGGAGAGTATCAATAGCCTGTAAACAAACACAGCATCCGACAATCAAGCTCTCTACCCACCTTGCAAACATTTCAAGGTCTTTGGCAAAATTTTCTGAAAGAGAAAAAGAGATGTGCTTTAGCTACCATATCTCAGTCTTACTTCAGAAGGAGAAAAGTGAAATCTCAAGGTCTACAGTAAGTACAGTGACTAACACAACAAATTCTTTTGAACGTAAGAGGAGGCCCTTCAGCAGCTCTATCGCTGGACAGGAGCTGTTAGCCATTGTATTCATTATGACCTCCTGGTCCTCCGTGGCACCCGCCACCCTTCATTATGAGCTTCTGGTAATTGTGGCTACACCCTTCCTTCCTAGAAACTATCCCTTAACTTAAAATTTTGCTACAGGTCAGGGTTTGTGAGGACATTAATCTCCTCTGAAGTCAAGCAAATATCAGTGCTGTAAATTCAGCTGTCAAATAAACGGTGGGTGACATTAAAAAGTTATAAAGCAATGAAATTAAAAATGGCATGTCTAATGTTCCAGGCAGTTTAAAAACACAACAAAACAAAAAGGTACTGAAGCCCCCACGTTAGTGCGAAATCAACCTCTGGGCTTTCCATACGTAGACAGGAAGACCAAGGCTGCATACCGCACTGTCGGAAGGTCACCTCCGAAATCGCCGCAATGGTTTGTTTGCTGAACTGCACTTCTTTGTCCGATGCAACTTCCTCGCAAAGACAGCCAACGGTGTAGTGAACTGCTGCCTTTAGCCTCTGAAGCAAAATCAAAACACTTCATGGGTAAGACTGCAAATAAGAGCTATTCATATCTTAAAAAATTAAGACCAAGGAGGGGGTCTGCTCAGCCTAATTCCTTCAGCACCCTCCATAATGGCTGAGTGACTTTTCAGGTGTACTGATAAATTAATGGGGCCCTCTGGAGTGTGACTTGTAGAAACATTACTTCCTAGTTAATGGTTATGATTTAGGTCAAGTAAAGATAAGGAATTACGATGGCAAGTCAGCAGGGAGAGAAGACAGACTGGAACGTGGGAAGCATCTGTGTGACTTTGCTCAGTTATTCCACATGTACGTGCCAAGTTGTCTACTGGGTAAAGGTGTGTGCTAGGGGTCTGGGGAAGGCAATGAAAAAGCAGACAGGGATTCTGCTCCCAGATGGGGGTCAATCAAGCAAATGCAAAAGGATCCCGTCCCTGTGCTTCAAGTCCTTGCCAGCCCCAGTCCTGCACGTGACAAAGACAATGGTGACAGCAACACAGGGAAAGGCTCTGGAGGGCACACCTAACCCTCTTTTTTCCCCCCAAATTTTGTAACAGCTTTATTTGTAATAGCAAAAAAAGTGGAAACAACCTCGATGTTCTTCAAGTAAATGGTTTAACTACATGGCTAACACACCAGACTACTACTCAGCAATAAATAGGAACAAACGATTGATACACACAAACCCCTGATGTATCTCTGAATAATTACGCTGAGAGAGAAAGCAAATTCCAGAAAGTTATATTCTGCATGATTCCACTTGTACACCATCCCTCACGAAAGGGCTTTGTTATGAAAGCAGATTAACAGCCATCATAATTATAATCCTAATTGTTCCGTTTATTGTGTCCATCACAGGCCAGGTACTATACTTGGTCCTCTCCAGATGTCATTGCCCTTAATCCTCACAATAAGCCTGAATTAGAAACATTTCTGTCATTGGGCTGACATAGTTCTCCAACTATCTGACCCTTCAATGGTATGAAGATACACCTGCCTTGACGTGCTTCCTTTGCCGATGCAAAGGAGTTGCTCTGCTAGTTTTCAGGTCTTTTTCAGAGTAAACTGTCTAAAAGTAGCTGTAGCCTTGGTGCATCCCTAGGAGGAGGAGAGTTCAGGCTCTTCCTACATCGCCATCTTGAACCACCTCCCAAGACTCATTTATTTCATAACTGAAAGTCTGGACCCTAACCCTCTTTTGATTTGCTGGTTTCCTAGGCCACCTCTAAAGGACTCTCTCTGCTCCCAGCAACCCTTTTGGGTACTGGAAAACATCTCTCTTTCCCATGCAGAGGAGTAAAGCAGCAGAACAAGCTAAGCCAAGGTCTTAGTCTCGTATCAACAAACTTGCTGAGCCCTGTGTGTGCTCCACCTCTGCACTGGAGACAGAGCTGAAGTGAATACAGTGGCAGCTGAACCCGAGATGGCATCAACTCTACCAGTAAGTGTTCACAGCAGAGGCAAGATGAGGAGCTGCAAAAATACAAATCCAGGACCCCAGAGTAGAGGCCAGGCAGATAAGCAACTACCTTCCTTAGTTTCAGATGTCACAAGAGTAGGTAAGTGGAGGGCTTTGGCAGGAGGAGACAAAGAGACCACCACCCTGGGAGGGATAAAGACCCTCCACCGTCATCTTCTTTAGGTATATGTGGAGGTGAGGTCAGGGGTGGAGGGACAGGACAGGGATCCTTCTGACTGGTCCAGAAGTTTTCTCTGTCTCTCCTGCTTCTCCACCTCCTGGAATGGGCCAAGTGCCTTCTTCAATGCTGCAGACATTTAGAGGCTAAATTACTAGACTCTAAACTCCTCAAGGGCAGGACCCTTCAGTTGTTCACTGTTGTCCATCTAGTACCAAGAACAGCTGGCTGAATGAATGGAGAGATCCTCCATCCCACTGCATAGAGAATGAGGTCCAAATTTCTCAGTCCATCTTTGCAGCCTTAGTCATTAATTCTATAAGCATTTATTGCCTTCTGAGAGCCAGGCTCCATCCTAGGGGCTGAGAATACAAAACTGAAAGGACAGCCCCTGCTCTCAAAGAGTTTATCTCCCACCACACTTCTGCCACAAATGGACTCTTCCCAACCACCAATGTCAGGAAACACCAAGAGGGTGGAGAACAGTTCCTGAGAAGACCAAAGAGACAGGACTGCCAGATGCAATGCCTAATCCTTGACTGGATCCTGGATGAAGGAAAAACGACCACTAACTAAACATCTCTGGGACAAATGGGGAAATTTGAATAGGGACAGGCATCACATAATAGGTCTTTATTAAGATCAAACTTCTTGAGTGTCATCAGCGATTATGTTGGGGAATGCCCTTGTTCTTGGGAGATGCATACTAAACTATTAAAATTTAAAGGTGAAGTGTCAAGTGTATTTAATTCTCAAATAATTCCAATAAAAAGGTAGCAAGAGAGCAAATACAGCAAAATGTTAACAGTTGGTGAATCGAGGTGAGGGGCATACGGGTGTTGAGTGCATTACTCCTGCAACTTTTTCTGGAGGCTTGAACTTCAAAATAAGGGGAGTGGGTGGGTAAATAGCTTCTGAAATGTCCTTTCTGAACTAGGAAGGAAGGTCCCATGGACTGAGCTCATTCCCGTGCCTCTTCGGTTAATCCTCCTCGAGGCTGTCGGCCTGGTTCTCGGTTCTCACCCCTTCACAGCGCTGTTTTCACGACTCTGCTACACGGTATTTATTCCCGGTGCTGATTAAAGGACTGAATACCCGCAACTACCCTGGGAGGTGGTTATTAGTACTTCGATTTTCCATTTAGGAGAACTGAGTCTGGGCAGTGTCAACACAACCCTCCGGCTGCGGAGCCGAGATTTGAACCCACATCCGTTGGCATCTGGAGCCGGACGGCGTAGGTTTGCACCAGACTCCGAGGCCGAATCCTCAACCGCAGGATGGAAAGCGCACCGGTTACAGGAGCCTACATTTTAAAGCTCGTGCAGGGCGCCTCACCACAACCCTGGCCGAGAAGGGAGCCTGAAGCTGTCACAAAGCAAGAAGGGCCCCGCCGCGGGACCCCCGGGCGCGCAGCAGCCTCCTCCTGGGTACCCTCCTTCTCGGTCGCCGCGACCCCCGCGCTCAGACTCGCGATACCATGGAAACCACCTCCCAGCACCCCCCGCGGCAGCAGAGTCGACGCATGCGCAGACGCCAGGCGGCCAAAAGCGGCCCGAGTGCGCCTACGCTTCCGGGACGGTCGCACCAAGGCAAGGCCGGGCTGACGCGGGGCGTTTTTCTCCCCAGAATCTCGACGCCGTCCTCCCCCGGCCCAGCCAGGACCGCGATTCGCCTGTACCTGTCGGTAAGAGAATCGCTGTTGCTCCTCAGCCCCCTCTTCCTCCTCCATCATCACAGCAGGCGGGTCCTGGGAGGCGCGCAAGGACGGAAAGAGGCGGCGGCCGGAAAGGTCGGATTTTCCCGCCGCGGCGCCGGGCGACGGGCCGCGCCTGGCGCCAAAGCGCGAAGCTGCCTCGTGCGTGCCCCCTGGCGGCGGCGCCTGGAAGGTTATCTCTCCCGTCTGCTCCCGCCCCGCCCCAGACCCAGATCCAGCTCAGCGCCCCGCACAGTGGTTAACATCAGTTCTCGGAAACTGTGTGTGGACAGCGGCACGCAACTCTTCATTGTAAATTCTATGCGGCCTAGGTAGGCCTTGAAAAATCCAACGTGGGTTTTTCTAGTTCTGTCACCATAGTGTCACAAAGCCAGACCACGGATAAATGCTTGATTTCTGTCCCATTCAGCGAACAAATTGCACACCCCATTAACACTGACCAAGGAGTATAGTTCTGACCCTAATGTTGGCTGATTTTCCTTTATGTCAAAAATTAAGTAAAAAAACAGTGAAACTCAACGTCGGATCTTCACTGCTTCCAAACTTTCTTCAGTTATTTCCCTCCTTCCCAACTTCACTCTTTTTGGAGCTTCACTCACACCTCAATGACATAAATGAGGAACTTCTCTACGGAAGTCAAATAACAGTGTTGAAGTGCTGGAGGGGTATCTCCTCACCTTGTGCTGTTCACAACTTAAAAGGCTGCAGACACCATACACATTCAGGTTTCATCTGCATTATTAACATTTCCCCACTCATTTCCTTAAGGGAACAATCCACAACAAATCAAACCCCGATTTGTAGATTTCCTCGGTGTAAATATTTACGCCATTGCTGATTTCAAGCCACCAAATATGGGGAAGCTGAACTCAGCATTTGCTACCAAACCAGGTTTGTTTGCCCCACCAGCAGCAGGCCAGCACTATCATGCTGAAGTTCACAGCAGAGAAAGGTTTTGTTCAGCCACATAAGGAGACAGGAGAACAAATCTCAGATCCACTTTGGGGAAGGCAAGAGGCTAGATATTTACGGGATAAAGAAGCAGAGTGGTCTTAGGCATGGGGAAATGTGATTGGAGGTAGGGAAAAAGCAAAGTAATCGGTGTTCTGCGCAGGCCCAGTTTTAGGGTCGGTGGTCCCAACTAGTCATAGCTGGTCTGAACTGGGCAGGAGCCAACTCCAAATTTCTGGAAAACAACTTAAGCCCCCGTTACTATGGTGACCTACACGTCAGAAGCGTTATCTACAGAGGTGGTTAAGAAGTCTGGTGATATATTACCCAGGCTACGTGAAGCTTGGAGGGTATGCAGTTAGAGAAAGGGAAAAAAACAACCAAAGCTGGCTTAATCAATAAAGGCAGGTTACAAGCAGCGGGGTTTCTAACAGGCTGTTCCCTTATCTGCTGTTCAGTGAGACGAACTCAAGGATTTGTGCTGACAGCTTCTGTTAACCCTGTGGGGTGCGGTTTCACACTGAGAAGAGATGCTGCACTTACACCACACAGACGTAACAGACATGAACAAAGTCAAGAATATAGATAGTAGAAAATGTGCAACGTAGTAACATAATTAAGCACTGATGAGTTTTGAGTTTTTATTACCTTTGTTTTTAACATAATTTACTTAAGCCTAAATTTATGCAACTTAATTCTCAATAATGGCTGTGTTTGTCTCTGGCTTTCAGTTTTCCTGAAAATTTAGAAATCAGCTCTCACTGTAGGACTGGCTTTAGCAGACCACTGGCCTAGCACATAGTAAACACTTAACAGATTCAAGCTGAATGAATGCACTGTATTGTAATTAGTTGTTAAAGATGTGTGTCCACCTGACTTAACGGAGTTGCAGTGAGAGCCCCAGTGCCTGGCACATGGCAAGAGTTCACTAAATGTTTGTTGAAGATCTGACTCTTAGCAGCATCTTGAGTCCTGATAAATCAGAGGCTCCTTGATAGTAGGTACCTGGGCCCTCAGATCATCAGCAATGCAAGGTCCCCCAGTTTTTTAAAAGAAATTTGACTTAGATATACAGGTATCCCCGCTTTTGAAAGTTCGCACTGAGCCTCTTGGCTTTTACGAAGACCTACGATAGTATGGCAACGGCTTTTTTCTCATAAAAGTGAAAATTCTCTTTGGATTTATTTTGGTTAGTGGAATCAGGTACTTGGGTGGTTCCTTTGTAAAAGCGAAGTGGGGGAACTCAGATTTTCGGGAAGCTGGGGAACCTGTATATTTTCTAACGCCTCACTGCAGTCATCAGAGGGAAAACAGTATTTTTAGACCTTATCACGCTTCTTTTATGATTTAGTGCTTTTTAATTACAAGTGGGATGAGAATGGAAAGCCTTTCATGTTGAGAACCTCTAAAGGCCTTAACACATCCCAGTCTTTCCTCTCTCCCAGCACCTTCTACTGCATGTTAAACTCACCTGCCTTTCATGACGAATGTGAAACTACAGAAGGAAAGAAGGAGTTTATTTGTGCTCATTTGGAAGCTCAGAGTTTGTGCTTAATTGGAAGAATATACAGGCAGCCTCTCTCTCTTACTGTCTCTGTGGAGAAAGTGAGGGGTAGAGGAAAAAGAGTGAGAAATGGCAGACGGAGAATCACGCAGGGAATTCCTTTTGACCCCTCACCCCGCAGTTGCCCCACATCTCAGCTGAATCCTAAGTGGTCAGGCTGAGGAGGCAGAGATTCAGCATACAAAGTTATTAGGGGTTGATTAATTGTGTAACCTAAGGTATTTGTTCTTCTAAATAATTTATGAAGTTCTTGGAAATACTAAGCTCTAACACATTTAAATTGCAAGTTAATAGACTGATGTCCTCTAGGACGTTAAATTTCTTTGTAGCCTAGTATGTACAGAATAATCTTGTTTCTTTTTTTTTTTAAAGAGCATATGCATCTATGTGGGGATATGGGGTATTTGAAGGGAATAGAAAAAGAGCTGGGAGGATATGTGACAAATACAATTAACTCCTGAGCAATGAGTTGAAGAGAAGGCAGAGAAAGGCACCCACATTTTTCACTTTATATTTCTGTATTCTGCATTTTTAAGCAAACTCCAGCCCCCAGGCCAGGACTTGGGTTCAGAACCCAGCCCCTCTCACAAGCTTTGTGACCCAGAGCAAGTCAGAACCTCTCCAAGCCTCCGGTCCCTCATTTATAAAGTGGGGATCATGGTACCAGCCTCACAGAGCAGTTGTGTGGTTTAAGTCACCTCCCCGAAGAGCTCAAGAAATAGAAACGACTTCCCAGGCAGTTTCTATGCTTTGTACCTCGCATGGTGTCTCATTTTAAAGCAGATGCTTCCTAGGGTGAGAGAACTTTATTCCAGTGACACTTGTGGAATGCCCAGGCACTTTAGACTCTGAAGAGAAAGGTCCAGGGCTGAGGTATTACATTATAGGAAATGGATGTTCAGTTGGCCCTTGAACAACACGGGTTTGAACTGCTCAGGTCCACTTATACGTGGATTTTTTCCAGTAGTACACGATCTGCAGTTTGTTGAATCTGCAGGTGCAGAACCACAGATTTGGAGGGCTAACTCTAAGTTACACAGGAATTTTCAATTGGGGTTGGGGGGGTGGGCCCCTACCCACCTCTCTCTCAAGGGTCCGCTGTGTTTGACTGGAACTGTTTTTACTCGATGAAAAGCGAGCACGTGCACTGGCCACTAGGTAGCAGCATCGCGCCACAAAACAAGGCCCTTCCTGTCCCTGGTGGTGACTGGTCCACACTGAGCGCTGACTTGCTCCTGGTGTTGTTCTAGGTGCCCATTTTCTATCTCAGCTGCCCTCGGAGGTAAGTTCTATTACCTCTCTTTTATGTGTGAGGAAGGAGGCTCACAGGTGAAAGAGCTTCGCCTGAGGCTCAACTGCTAGGAAGTGGTGCAGCCAGTTTTGATGGAGCCGCCTAGCCTCTGAGTCCACGCCCTTTTCCTGTACTCTCATCCCACTGCCCTCACCGTAAATAACACAAGGACGTTGCAGGTCTCCTGAGTCCTGCTCAGCTGCATTAAATAGGGTACCATAAACATTCAGTCATCATTTATTTTCCCTGAATTGCACTATAAAATGCTGATTCAAGAATCAGTCTCCATTAGCTGTTATATGTATTCCAGAAGCTCATGAGGTCAGGACTTGACTTCCCTCACCACTAACCAAATGGTTCCAAACACAGTGTTGGCACATAGTAGGTACCAATGAGTAACTGAATTGCACACATCGAGCGGTGAGATAATATGGTGATTAAGTGCATGCGTTCTGGCACCAGATTGCTGTTTCAGATTCCAGTTGTTCAGGAGCTCTGTGACCTTGGACAAGTTACTTAATATCCTCATGCTTCACCTGTAAATTGGTGACAGTGCTAGCACCTACTTCAGAGGCTTTTGTATTAAATGAGCAAACTTAAAACAGTGCCTAGCATACACTCTGTCAGCTATTATTATATTCTCATATAGGCCGTTTAGACTGTATGAGACCCTCCGGAAAACCCCCAAATAGGGCCAGACTTCCCGATTCCCCATGTAATAAATTGTCCTCTTCAAGGTAAGCATACATGGCAGATTATGTTTGGAAAGAAAAAGGTCAGTATCTCCTGACCCACGTGCTCCTCTAGAACCTCATCACTCCGCCGGCAGGAGGTAAAGCCTAATTCTCCTTCCCTCGAATTTGAAGGGTTTATGACTCTCGTAACTGATATAACGTGGCTGAAATAATGCCGTGTGACATCCATGGCTAGGTCTTAAAAGGAACACTCCCCTTTGGAGCCCTGAGCCACCAAGTCAGAAGTCGGCCTAGCCTGCGGCCGCACGGTAAGGCACCATGCACCCTTCCGGCCGAGGGGCCCTCGCTGAGGCGCCAGCGTCAACCACCCAACAAAGAGGACAGACACCTCCAAGTGACCCAGTCGTGGAGTCAGCCCCAGCTTTCAGTCCTTCTGGCTGAGGCCCCAGACACTGTGGCGCAGAGACAAGCGGTCCACCTCGTACCTTTCCAAATCCCTGACCCTCAGAATTAGAGGAATAATAAAAATGGTGGTCATGTTGCACCACTGAGTTTGGGTGGTTTGTTACACACCAATCAGTTGTCGCTGGAGCCGCACACAGGATGACTGGACAGGGAGCGTGTATGTGCTGACACACCACTGACACAGCGTGCACGTCCTGCAGGCCTGTGTGCCCTGCTAAAACATGGGCTCCGCGTCTGCCGCAAAGCAGCGCACTACCTGCAAGCCCCTGCCTAAAGCCTCTGCCCAGAACCCCCGCCTGCTCCCCCGTCTGACCCACGTGTCTTTTTAACTAACTCCTTTGTATCCCAGATAAGCAGAAGGAAGTTGTGCTTGATGTTATAAAAGGGCTACAATTTCTGCCGACGGAGGCCCTTTGCTGGAATAGCCACCAGACTGACCCTGCGGCAGCTGGGCTGGACAGGACCAACTTGGCTGGAGGCAGAACGCGTCTGTGGCCACCTCCATCCACTTTCTGAGGTGTTCGACTGCCTCTCCTTCTGCAGGTAAATAATATTCACTGTGGCAGACACTAATTTAATCCTCAAAACAGCTCTGTGAGATAGGTATTCTATTTTACAGATGAGAAAGTACACAGGTACAGGGGCAAATGTGGGAAGAAGAGATTAGTGATCTAGCCAAGATCTGGGCCCAGGCAGGTGGCCGCAGAACCCAGGCTCCTAACCAGTAGGCTAGGCTGCCTTCACCAGAGCTATTTTTATTCATATACTTTTAAAATAAGTCATAGGAGGTAAAATTCAAAAGGCATGAAGTCATATATAGTTAAGTCTCCCTGTCAAGGACCTAGGCAAAGGACTGTTACATTCTTTTAACAATAAAAAGAGCTTCCATTTATTTTGCCCTTCCTGTGCCAGAATGTCGTCACCTGGGAGCTTTTTAGAAGCAGACTGTGGGCCCTCACCCATACCTGCTGAATCAGGATCTGCCTGTTTCTCCAAGACCCACCCCCCTGGTGGTGGGGGAGGGCGTGGGTGGGGGGGCAGTATGTGCAGTTTGAGGAGTTCTGCCAACTCCTCTAGGGTCTGTCTTAACCCAGACAGTTGAGCACACAGGAGTCTCACCAGGAACCTGAGGGCTGGTTCACAGTGAATTCTTCTGAGTGCTGAGAAGTAGCATTTGTTTTCTCAGAAATACCACTGCTTCAGGGACAGGCACACCCTGAAGTGCTAATGATAATTACCAGTTACATAGGTGCTTATTATGTGTCAAGTGCTGGTCTGTTTTAATTAGGTGAAGCCTCAAAATAGCCTTAAGGAGGCAGGTACTGATATTATCCCCATTTTACAAATGAGAAAATTGAGGCCAGAGATACTGAACAACATGCCCAAAGTCATACAGCTAGTTAAGTCGTAAGCTGGTACACGCCCTCCTTGACTGCCTCCTCATCCTTCCCTCTAGAGTTAATCATTACCTAACGTTGGTGTTTCTGGTATTATTGGGGTCTTCTTTTCTTTTTTTAAAGATAAGAGGAAAATATTTAACAAGGCCAGAAGGAAGTAAACTAATTTGGACGTAATGAAACCGGCTGCAAGCTTTTCTGCCAGTGAGGCTATGGCTCCGTGTGGCTGAGGTGAGAATATCTGAGTCTGGAGGAAAAGCATAAATCTGATTTTTTTACTTTTATTAAGGGAATTCAGCTGCATGATACAAAGTTTCCAGTTTGATCAAGTTCCACAGAAACCTTCCCTGTGTGTCTGTGTGAAAAGAGCTGCTGCCTCTGTCAGGGCAGACGTGACTGGCCCGCTAGTCCCAGGGGCCGCGTGGGAGCTGCTGCCCGGCGGGGCCGCTGGCTCGGCTGTGCGCACACACGCTCAACCCCTGCTTAGTCCCAGGAACCCGGGGCAGAGGGTGGGCTGCTTCTCACAGGACTACTTTACAAATACGCGGGTTGACTTTTCACAGGAGTCTCTTACGACACTTTATTTTAAAAGATCTAAGCAGAAAGTAGGGCGAAGGGCCATGTAGGCAGTGCTGCGTGGCACGTGGAATGTCTGGGTCGGGGTCATGGGGGTGACGGAGTCTGGTTAGGCATTGTATGAAGATGACGACACGCTGCCGCCGTGGCCTGTCCAGTTAGTGTGGATAAACTGCCCCGGCTTGGCCAACAGTTCGTAGGTGTGAGCTCCAAAGTAATCCCGCTGAGCCTGGAAGACAAGACGTCAGGCTGGTTAGGATACACACAGGCACACGCCCCTCGGGCACCACCCAGGTTAATGTTACCAGCTTCTCCGAAAGCTCACCTGGATGAGGTTGGCCGGCAGCATCTCGTGCCTGTAGCCATCGTAGAAGGAGAGAGCAGTGGTGAAGCAGGGCATGGGGATGCCTGTCTGGACCCCAGTACAGACTGTTCGCCGCCAGGAGTCCTGAGCAAGAAAAGCAGAGCCAAAGGCTGGTGATTAGCTCACAGGAAAGATAACAGATTTCCATGCACATCAGCGCTGGTAAATGAAAAGCAGGTGTCCCCAGAGCAAAACCCACCGAGATAGAATTCCCACGCCACCCAGCTCTAGGCTACACACCTGGCAGTTTTCAACAGCTGACTTAAAGAAGTCATCTAGTAGCAGATTCTGAAGTCCTGGGTTCCGATCAAATGCATCTTTTATCTTTCCCAGAAATACACTGAAATAATCAAGAGGGAGGAACTAGCAGACTGAACACCTGGCAGAAAGCAGGGGAAGTAAGGTGAAGCTGATGGAGACCCAGCAGGTACGAAGGCACCTGTCCCATGCCCCGAAGTTCTATGTCCGGCCAGGACACACAACCAGGTCCCAAGAGGGGAGGGCAGAGGGCATGACAGTCGTCACAAAACTACTTTAAAAGGGGCAGTGTGGACACTCGAGTTAGAATAACTGATAGCCAGGAAGAATGTGAGACGTGACACCTAAGCCTGTCAGGTCACTAGTGTACCAGCGAGAGGACTCACACAGGCGCCCTGAGACCACAGTTCTCCGGCAGGGCAGGTGGGGGTCCCTCCCACCACTTACCTCCTGATGATGCAGCCCCCTCTCCACATCAGGGCAATGCCACCATAGTTGAGAGTCCAGCCAAATTCAGTGGCTGCCTGTCTTAGGAGCATAAAGCCCTGAGCATAAGAGATGATCTTGGAAGCATAGAGGGCCTGGAGAACGACACAAGGCTCATGAGAAGTGCACACGACCAGCCTTGTCCCCCTGCAGTGCTGCGAGTCCATGTGGGCAAGGCTGGCCTGACCGCGCCTCCGCGCGTGGCATCAGGGCGCTCTCCCACAGCACCCCCCACCCCCACTGCTGCTGCCAGGCCTGGCCCCACCTTTCGAATGTCCTCCAGGAATGATTTCTTGTCGCCTTCAAACTGGGTCTTCTGAGGCCCCTTCAGCTTTTTGCTCGCTTGAATCCTCTCGTCCTTCAGAGATGATAAGCATCGAGCAAAGACTGCTTCTCCTACATGGGTTGGAGGCAGGGGAGGTAATATGTCACCAGAGTTTACACAGAACCCGAGGAGCAGTACACATGAGCCAGAGGATGAAGGAAAAACAAATGGAGCAAGATTTTCCATTGTTACAAAGAGCTGAAAGTCTCAACCTTAGGCCACAAAAGATATCCTGATCACAAGGAACTTTTATAAAAAAGCTCTAAACAGTTCATTTGAAAACTAAAATTCCAAGTCAGTCTTCCAACATAAATTCAGGGATTCAACCACAAAGATCACCATGAAATTCAAAGGGGAGTTTTTAAAGGAAAAGAGGCAAAACCACCATAATTCAGAATTATTCAGTGTTGGTCCACCAGTAAAATTTCAGTTTCAGTTGGGAAGAATTTAATTTTTAAATGCTCACCAAAAACTCAGTTTATTTTCTTTTGAAGCACTAATACCCAACACTTTGAAACAAGTAGGACACTGAGAAGTAACAGACTTCACTCTTCAAAAACCTCCATTTTCTAATTCTTACAGTTTTCAATATATCCATGGATCACTGTTACAGTTTCACAATTTTACTTCATTTGAATAAAAAGCATTTCAATATAGTATTTTAATATTAAGACATTTAGTGTCTTAAAAATGATCACTTATAAATGCTTGCCCAATTGACAACTTGTAAAATTAGAATAAATTAACCCTTTCTTCCCCCCAACAGACAGAATGAATTAAAATCTTTGGGAACTAACTCAGGACTTTATTTCTGAGGAAAGGTTTCTGGCCATAAACTTGAGAGTGGGTGTCTTCCTGTCCTTGTCCTCATCCAGCTCTCTGGGGTCCTGCCGTGCATAGACAGACAGACAGACAGACACACACACACACACACACACCCCCACGATGACTTAGCATTTCTGGGCGGAAGCTTCGTAAGACAAAAGGCAGAAAGAGGCCATTGTGGCGAAACCCTCAATGTTACCTAAAGATGAGCCGGAAGGCTCACTTCCCCATTAGTTCAGAGACAAGGACGGCTCCCGTCCAGAGAGTAAGCCTGCCTGCCGCCACCTGGAAGGCAGGGCGCAGAATCTCTAAAGCAAGAGAGTAGGGGGGTCTCTGAGGCTGTGATGCTCTTGTATTTGAGTCAGTGATGGGAATAACCTGCTCCCAGTTCCTGTCTTGGTCCGCTGCCCAGGGTAGCACTCAGATTAGCCAAAAGGAGTCAACTTCCTTCTCTATCGAGCTGGACTAAGCAAAGGACTTCCCTCCTTACTGTGCCTCGCAGCCATACAGCTCATGGTCAACAGAGTGAGGCATAATCAGGAAATGGAGAAGGGAGGAGACTAGGGAGGGAAAGGCAACCTCCATCTGGAAAGCAAACACAGTATTGAGTTTTATTGCTACAGGGGGAATCATTCAGCAGGAGCAAAGATCAGCCTTTCATCAAACATGCCAGGTACCTTTTTTCACTGTCCTCTTTCAATCTTGCCAGAAGCGTATCTACTTTATTCTTAAAGAACCAAAGTGTAGTTTCGTTAATCCTCTTATTATTTCTGTTTATTTCTGCTTTTGATTATATCCTTCTCTCTGCATCTTTTTGAGTTTGATGCTTGTTGGCTCATTAAGACAAGATAGAAAGGACAGATGGGAAGGATATACACCAACTTCAGGAGAAAAGTCTTCTAAAGGGAGAATGGGGAGGAGTTCAGGAAAAGAGTATCTATCAAAGGCCTTGAGATGTACAGATAATATTTTATTTCTTAAATAGACCTGAGAAAAACCTCAGCAAAATACTAATAAAAGTTGAGTACCTAAACTCAGATTATTCCATGAAATTCAGTATGAAAAATTCCATTACAGTTACCTTCCCTATTAAATAGATCATCGATCACTGACCATAATTAAATCACTAATGTCAGAACTATCCCAAAAGTCAAAGACAGAGACTAACTTCTGAACTTATCTCAACGCTTATACAACTGAAGGATTATAAAGAAGAGAGTCAAAGGGAGCGTCAGCCTCACTCACACTGTGAATTTATTCAAATGCAGAAAGAGCAGATCGGACTCTAAAGCTGACTAGGGTTGAACCGATTCTCTGAAAAACCTAGTAATTCTTGGTTGCCAGTATATACCAGTATCCCAGAAGGAAGTCAGGATCAACACAGTGAGAGGAAAGGGTTCAGTCAAAAGCTGAGCGTTACCGATGAGGGTGACAGGGACACCGTACTCCAGGGCGGAGATGGCGGTCCACTTCCCAGTGCCCTTCTGCCCCGCGCTGTCCCTGATCTTTGGCAGCAGGTGTTTGCCATCAGTGTCTTGGAACTCGAGAATATTGGCTGTGATTTCGATCAGGAACGAGTCCAGCTCGGTCTTATTCCATTCCTCAAAGGCCTGTGTGCAGGACGTGAAAGAAAACACTGAGAGAAACACGGATTACACAGGCAATGCTCCCCTGCCTGACCCATCCCTTTTCCATGTAAACACTGCCCTGCCCTCATGATCTGCTCGGCGCCTGCGCCTACAGGCTCCTCTTCACTGTGCCCGACACTCTCCTGCCGGTGGACTTATGTGCTAACTGAGGGTCGGCTGTCGGGCTTCAGCCTGTTCATGCTGAGTTTCCCTTCACCAGACTGCCTTCCCCAGGTCCATGTGCGCCCTGCCCTCCCTCGGGCCTCTGTACAGGCACAGTCGCCTCCTCAGAGGCCTCCCTCAATCATCTGATCCAGATTTGTCTCTCACACTCACCCACTTTTCTTTATATAGTGACCATGAACTCGTCTTACATACTTAACTAGTGTAAGACTGTCATCCCAGGTCACGAGGGCAAGGACTTGGTTTTCTCCACCATTAAATTCCCACCCTAGAACAGCGCCGAGCATACAGTGACGCGCACATACGTATGTGTTGAATGAATTCATTAAATATTACGTAAACCACTTAACCATGAACACAAAAAGAAAAGCCAAGTTTCTGTGAAAACTAAGTTAAACTATTTTGGAAAAAACGATAAGGGCAAGTCAGTGAAACAAAATCCGTGCGGATGGCACACAGTTTTAAATTAGGAGGAAAAAAATGCAAAAAATCCAGAAGGATTCTGCACTGTGTGTCTTGCATCTTTAAATCATGTTCCACTTGAAATAACTTGCAGATTCTAGATGATAAGGAAGTTGATTAGACTGTAAGCAGCAGACTCCTCACACTTAAAAGCACTCGGCTCTCCATGAAATGGCTGGTGAGCGAACACACCATGAATGATGCCGAGTTGTTTAGAAAAGAGTACTGATGCCTGCAGTTTCCTTTGAAATGTATTTTTTAAAAAGATAAACTGATAGAGGGATGGACAGAAAGTCTACAAAGCAAGGATGGTAAAAGGTAAATGCAGAATCCAGGTTTGGGGGGAGCTGTTTTTAACTGGAAGTACTGGGGGTGGAGCCCAGGACCTCAGCGCGTGCCAAGCACACGCCCCACCCCCAGACTGTGCATACACGAGTGTTCACTGTGAAGGTCTTTCCACTTTGTTGTATGTTTGAACATTTTCATAATTAAATGTTGGGGGAAATGCTTATGTTTCCCAGCTTAGACTAACTTTTTTAATTAACTGTCAAAAACCCAGTCCTAACTTGATCAGAAAAGAAAGCTTCTCCTGTGCCTCCCACGTGGGACGATGGGAGGATCAAATGAGAGCATGGAGTTAAGTGACACAGGCCTGACACACGGTCAGGGTCCCTGCGTGGTGGCGATCACCGCCAAGTCTCTGGCTTAGAAACTGGCTATCGGACTTCACAGCATGACCAAGGGAAAAAGCGTGAGGAAGGATTTTCTGTCGCCAGCAAATCCCTTCTCATCTGCGCAGTGTTACTCACCCGGGGCTGGGGCCTCACCTGTGCCATCTCCTTGTGCTCCATGCCCAGGACGTCCTTCATCAGGTGGTAAGCCTCACAGATCAGCTGCATGTCACCGTACTCTATCCCGTTGTGCACCATCTTGACAAAGTGCCCCGCCCCCTCGTCTCCCACCTGTGAGAGCCACAGCGTCAGGGGGCCCTCAGAGAGCCAGGCAAGCACCGGAGAAGCCCACGTCCCGCTCCAGCAGGGCTCCCTCCCCGTACCAAAGTCACAGACACAAAGAAATACAGTATTTTCACAAGAAGAATCACTACATAACTCAACACAAGCTTTAATCCAGTCCAATGTTTTAAACTAATTCCAAACTCATTAAAGATTTTTCAAAATCCCCAGACTTGCTCTAAGTACCCAGAGCTCTTTAGCCTGCATCTGCCATTTTTTCTCGTCGTTATTAAAAGTAACTTCCCACTCACAGGTAAAAGGAGTCTTCTTTTTCCTGAAGTTACCACTTTTCTAGCAACCGGAGGTGAAAATAAGCTGGACAATTAAATCGCTTTTACTTTAAAATATACATAAACTCTTGTAGTTGTTTCTGTGGCCACTGAGGGGGAAATGACCTCAGATCCAAGGCTTGGCCCTCCATATTTTAAGCCTAGAAACGTGTTCTTGCCAGGGTCCCACAGTTGACAA